TCCAGTCCTGGAACCCAACAGAGATGAATGGTTGGGATTGTTGCTGCGTGATCTAGACTGTTGTATGATTACTCATCGCGTTAGATCGGTGTGGACTGCATTGGGGCAGCTGCGCCAATCCCCACAGTAAACGTCAGCCAGCTCAATTTCTTTCTTACTACCTCGATCAAGGGTCCTCAAACTTTTTAAACAGGGGGCCAGTTCACTGTCCCTCAGACCATTGGAGGGCCGGACTATAGTTTAAAAAAAACTATGAACAAATTCCTATGCACACTCCACGTATCTTATTTTGAAGTAAAAAACCCAAACAGGCAAAAACACCCGCATGTGGCCCGCGGGCCGTAGTTTGAGGACGCCTGACTTAGATAATGCATTTAAGGAGAAATTCTAATATTTTCTCCCATGGTTCAGTGGGAGAACCATCATCCTGTCCCTCCCCTTGGAGCACCTCCTACCCCTTCCACCCCACCATCCCTCTCCACCTTAAAGACCACTAGGCAGGAAAATAAGAATGATCTTCGAGAGGGAGGAACATGAATGTGCAGATTCATTTTTCCATGAGTCTCATAAAAGTAAGCAAAGACCCTTTTAGTTTCTCCTTTATTTAATTCCCTGTGGGCTGCTTCTCCCTCTAACGTACACTGCCTTACACCTTTTCGAATTCTCTCTGCGCTCTAGTCTAAAGCAATTTTGGTGCTGAAGGGCAGAGGGAGGGAGGCGGCACGCGCGCTCGGCGTGGCCGTGTAACACACAACGGCTGATCTCTTCTGACATTTATCTCCGCTCGTGAGGGGAGATGGAGCAGCTCACTCATGAAGATGAATGTCATAGCAGCGCTCTGCCATCATGCATCCTTCCGAGGGCTCTCAGGAGAGAGATTTGGTGTTATATAGAATATTAGAATTGCTGCAGACAAGGGGAAGCCTGGCAACTCGGCTGCTCTGCCTTATTAGATCCTGTTAAGCGAAGTGAGGCACCCTTGTTAAACAGAGCCGTCCTCATTATAAGATTATCTAATTCACTCTCTAGCATGGCTTTTGCTTATTTCATGCACCCACAGGAAAAAAAAAAATGACTTCCCAGCATATTTTTAAGTACAAATGGAAATAGATCGAGTTCATAACTATGCAATTGTATACTTTGCTCCTTGCTTCTTTGAAGGCTTTATGATTATAAAAGTACAGATCCTTCTGAAGATAAATACTTCAGGGAATGACAAAGCAATGGGGAAGCCTTTTGACAGCAGAGTGGCTAAATCTGTCCAGCCCAGGTCATCTTTGACCTAAGATGACCTATCTAGGGTCCACCACATCTTCAAAGAGCATGCCTGGTTTTTTTTGCTGGGCTGCTTCTCCAACTAGAAGAGCAGACTGAGCAGAGAAAGTTCTTTGAATCCAATTTCCACCACTCATCAATGGCGTGACCTGGGCTAATTATCCCAACTTCTCTTAACATCAGATTCTTCATCTGTAAAATGAGGATAATAATGGAATCTATCTGATAGAACTGTTCTGAAGATTAAATGACATGAAATAAAATCCATGGAAAGCTTAGAACAGTGGTGCACAGTAGGTGTTCAATGAATGTTAGCAATTATTATTCATAATTAGCAAAAACATCTTAGTGGCATCAAATACCAATGACATAAAGAATCATAAAATTCAGATCATTTTTACTAGCTCTCATCTGGATTATTTTACATTCCTTCTATTATTCTAGACTCTCAGTGCATAGGCAGCCCTGATTTGTGAAGATCCAAACTTTAAATTTCCACTTGCTTAATTGGGCCACGACACCTCTTGTCCTTTTATTGATTCCTAAGAAGCAGGTGATACAGTGAAAAAGATATTAATTTGGGGCCTAGGTCCATACCTGGGGTTTAATCCTGTTTACTATACTTGTGTGAAATTGCTCAAGACACTTACCATCTGTGAGCTTTATTCTCCAACTGTAGAATATGTATGATAAGTATTAGTAATACTTATCTTTAAAGGATGCCATTAGGATTAAAAATGAAATATGTTAAGCATCCTAATTCTTACTTCTGCAGTCTGAGGTCCCTTTGTTTTATAGCTTTAACTGAATAGCTGTTATGTCACTGTGACAAATGTAAAGACACACAAATGAATATGCACGATCCTTGCCATGAAGCGTTGGCCATGAGGATAAGAGCCATGTAAAGGGGAAGACTTCCTGAAAGAGGAAACATTGAGTTGAACCTTGAAGAGGGAAGAAGACCTAGATAAATAAGGAAGAGGGTAAAGGCTGTCCACACAAAGCAAGAACATGGGAACCATATAAAAGATGAAGGTTGAATGTTACTGCCATGCAAACACCCCTCAATATGTTCACATCATAATTGGGAAAACAAAAATAACTTTCAGGAGAGATCTCACTCTGCTATGGACACATTGAGTTGCAGCAAGTCAAGCATTTCACTGCACAGATTTATCCAACCTTTCGCTTTGAAGAAGACGGTCTTAGGAAACTTTAAAGGCCTCTGAAGAGACAGTTTTGCTGGAAGAGCAGTCATCTCCTGGAGAGCTCCTGTTACCATAAAGCTGCCAGGAGACTCCAGTGGGGAAGCCTGACATTCGCCGCAGGTTCAGCCAGAGTTTAGAACCCAGACTAGGACTGTAACTGAATCTCCTTTAGCTGAAATTCATTTAAAATAAAGTGACATTCAGGTTTAAAAAAAAATTCTGGCAGGTCTTCACCCATTCTGGAGAAGACTGGCTTGGTCAGGAGAATCTCACATCCCTGGGCTATGGGGGTAGCCTGTTAGGGTTGTGTGTTGGGAGTGTAAGAAGGTAGATTTTATAGAGTCAAAGCCATCATTTGAATCCCTCACTTTTCCCTTAAATCACTAGGACCTGGGCCCGTCAAGAGCTCAAGAGCTAAGAATTAGCCCATTTTATTTCTCTTTCCATCTCACTGTGGCTATTCTTTCCTTGGAGTCCAGGTTTGGTCTGAATGGGGGAAAGAGCATGGGGATAAACACATAGATTTCGTTTTCTCCCTTTCTCTCTCTTTCTTGCTCTTTCCTGTGGCTGAGTGGGGTAAGGTTGAGTTTTCACAGGGTAAACATGCATGTGATGTGACTTCAGCACACTTAATAGTGCAGTGGGAAACCTAAAAAGAAGCAAATAAGACCAATCCTCCCTGGCACTTGGGGGCATCTAGTGAGGCACTAGGTAAGTGTTTCCACCTGTCTTTACATAAATGAATACATGAGTGTTCACATGTGTGTGCACTCACACATGTGTCCTTACAGATGAAGCTCTCATCTACATTTTCATTGGTTACTCCTGGTTCATTTCATTTCAGTTGGTTCTTCCACAGTAAGGAGGTGTAATGGACTAGCACCTGTTGTTCAGCCAGGTGTTAACTGAATTTGTGTTTGCAGTGGAGTCTTTGCAAGTGAAATCAGAAAGAAAATAAAAGGAAGAGCATATGGGATGTGCATGCTTTCTGAGCTACCACCTGTTTCTTTATATATTTTATAATAACCAGAGTCATAGCTTTTGGAGAAACTTCAGAACTTTTGGGAAATATGGAAAGAGTAGATCCTATTAGGCATCAAGATCTAGATCACACCATGAAAGAAGACACCCTTTTGAAATTTTTATTTCTCTAAGCACAAAGTAAATGGGTTCTATTAATGCAATGCTGAAAAGCCGGGTGGGACAGTCACTTGAAGCTTGTGGTATCATGACCTACCCCCCTTTTCCTAGCATGACCAAAGCTCCAGGCTGCTGTGTTGATGGAAGCTGAGGCCATAGTCAGTAGGCTACCAGCTTCTCTTACTTCCATCCCTAGTTTTATAAATATTGAAAACTCACAAGACCACAGGAAATGAGATAGATTTCCCATTTCTTCCTTTCTTACATGCTTGCTTTTTTGCTTAGGTGGAGGGTGGCATAAAGGTTAGCAAAAAGGCATAAAAGAATAACCCTTTTTTTTATATTTTGCAAGAACATACGAGAATAATTGCCTACTATTTCTTGCTTACCCCTTCCTCCTTCCCCCAATGAAACCCGAAGCACACGGGACTAGGAAGCCAACGTTGTAAATGTTCAAAGGTGGAATTACATCTTTTGGTGTCTGGGTGCATTTCGCATTATAATGCAGCCTCGATGATAACATTTCTCAGGAAAGCCTGCGCAGCTGTCTCTGCATCAATTGGTAGCGTGTGGGGAAAATATTGCTCGGAATGTACTTCTGGGTGCAATTTACTTTGATACTGTTCTCCGAAGTATCAAAACTGATTCTTCATCTTTGACAAAGGAAAATGTGCACTCTCAAGCTTTAAGAAGCTGAACCATGTTTGGGGTGACAAATACATTCCTTTGGGAAGAAAGTGTTGTATAGTGGAAAGAACAAACACTTTGCACCCAGAGAGATCTGGGTTTGAATCATGCATGGAACACTTACTAGCCTTGAGACTTTGGAAAAATCAATTTTTCTAAGCCTTTGTTTCTTCATTCACACAAAGGGTTGCTGCAATAATAACATGAGATGACATGTATAGTAGTGGTTGCTAAGAAATCCACTTGATAGGCAGAGGGGAAAGTAAGGAGTAGCACCCTATGTGGTCTGGGGAGAGACAGGGATTGGGAGAACCCAAATTTGGGCAATGAAGTACATGTCTGCAATGGAGTTCCAGGAAAAACAGAATTATCACATCTTCCTCTATTTTCTAGTTTGATGACTCTATAGTCTTCCCTTTCAGATGTAGCAAGGAAAGGCCTGTAGCATATATGTCACAGTTGGGTGGCAGATGGGCCAGGCCACATGCTGCTGAACTGATGCATGAGCCTGGCAGTAAGTTCATTTGCAATTTCCCTATGTTCTAAATTCCACCCACAAAAGTGATTATAGTGAAGGCCATTTTGCCAGGACAGTATATAACACATGAAATTTATAGAATCCAGGACTCTAAGTGATACCCTCTCCTGCCCCCACCTCTCTCTCATTCTCTTCTTTTCTCCTTTCTTTAGAAATCATTATCGTCAGAGCACAGCTGCCACAGGCGGGGCACCTGGGAAGTGTTATTATAACCTCACCTTTGCTGTCACCTTCCCGCATAATGAGGATGTCTGCTACCTGGCCTACCACTACCCCTACACCTACACGGCCCTGATGGTAACTCCCTCTTTACGGCGTCACTCCAGTGGGACTGAAGGGCTCTCTCTCTCTCTTTTTTGAGAACATTCAGGAGGTCCTGACATCTTGGGTGGGTGGGGGTGAAATACTGCCTCCCTGAGATTTTGTTGTCACTGACTCAGTGGCTTTATAGGTGCCCCAGCTCCTTCCCTGGACAGAGCACAAGGCTCAGTCATGGCTGGTGACATTCTGAAAGCCCAAGCGGTCTGCAGGTTGAGTGTGGGAGATTGGGACATTTCTTAGGGGCTCTGTCTGTCTTTAAAAAGTCCTCAAATCAAGCATCAAGTATCCAGATTGGAGTTGAATGGGGTGAAACCACACAAGTTAGCTGAGAGGCAGATCTGAGGGACAGCGACTCGTGGGGAGGGGTGGAGCAGGAGGCAGGAAGGGGGAGCCGGGAAGACTCCCTGGGTCTGTGAACAAGCAGCCCCCTCAGCACCCACAGTGGTTCCCAAGACCGTGGGCTAGAAGTTGCTGGAAGTATCAGGGTGCACAAGAATGGTGGACAAATAGGACACTGGATTGCTGCAAAGGAGTGTCACAGTCATTTTATGAAGGGAGTGTAGCCGGAACCAGGCCAGACTCAACATTTAGCATGACTGCGTTCTGTAAGGCCCTGCAAAAGGTTCATGAAACAGTTTTCTGCAAACTGACTGCTCAAACCATGCAGTTTTCTTTCATTTGAAAAAGTGGGCAAACCCCCAGCTATTTCATGGATACCCTGAGGATTAATGAGCTACAATATCTTCTATGAAGCACTTTCATCCTCTGTGTTAATGTCAAATGTTATTAGCATATTTATAATAATATGTGTGTATATGAGTGTATATATCACTTAGCCTCAAGGATGAGCATTTTCATTTTAAGGCTGTGATAAACAGTTGGAAAAGATCATAACCAAGAATATCTCTTCCTTTAACAGGAATGTTCAGGTATAAATGAAAATTTTCCCCACCGAGGAGGCATACCTGAAACTTGGCTCACCACGCCATGAAAGTGCATGTGTCCCTCTCTCCATATGTTGTCTTGCCTAAACAGAGATTTTTACTGTTTTCCAGATTGCAAAAGATGCACAACTAGTATTATTTGTGTATCACACTTGGAGAGCTCAAGAAGTTAATCCAAGAAATGTGCCTCGCAAGCTATGTTGTAACAAGCCGTGTTTGTTATAAAACGTGTTTTGTTGCCTTTAGGGACACAGAACAGGCAGGATTCATGATCCCTTTCAACAGCTGTTTCTACAGTCCTGCCTGTGAAACGCTGAGAGGGAAAGTCTGCTGGGGGAGTGGATTCTTTTTGGAATATGCGTCTGCCTTTCCCAGCGGGCAAGAGGGAACTGTGGGTCCACGGCTCTGTTCTTTTCACTTGTTAGAATGTCTTGAACCCTGATGAGGCTCTTGGTAGTGGTCAGTATAAAACATTAGAACTCAAAGGGGCTTGGGCAGCTGTCTAATTCACCCTTATCATTTGTAGATGCAAAAACTAAAGCCTAGAAGTGCCACATCTCGCTAGCAGCCAAGCAGGGAACAGAACGCTGGCCTTTGATGTCTATTCGGGTGGCCTTCTTGCTCCACTTTAGCAGAAATGTAGAAAAAAAATCAGAAGAATTTCTGCTCTGGGTGTCAGATTGGTGTCCTCTCATGCTACCACATACAATAGCTACTCAAAAAAATGCACTTCGGTTTTGTTAAGTACACGTAGTCATCTTTGTGTGATGATATAGACATCTCCAATGGTTGAGTTCAAGTCACCAACCCACGATTTATGTCTGCAATGCTGAGTTCTATGGATGTGGTTCAGCTGAAGGGTAATGTTTCTTACCAAACATGGTCCAATTCTTATCCCAAGATGCTCTGATGGATTCTTACTGGGTGCCTACAAGCTGATGTAAAGTCTGTAACCTGTTCAAGCAGTCCTTGACTGCACCTGGATGTGTACCTTGTGCCTCTGGGCCCACTTATCTTCTGGGGACTGTGTCAGACCAGAGCACAGGGTTAAGATTTACAATTGATAATTAACTTGGGAGCTCTTGGGGTCAATGGGAGGATAATTTCATCTTGAAGGGAGGCAACAATACAAAAAAGTAAACCCCCGGTCACTTAGTGTCACTAAGAAGGGAAAGCAAGGCCTTCTTAACTGATGCTCCTTGGCTTGTTACTATTAATACTAATAACATTAATTGCTACTAATATTAATTATAGTCTTATTTGCTGTTACTATGAATAATAATAAGTAATAATTATTACCTATTATTGTTACTTGTTAGCCTACTAACTGTGAATCTCTTCCACCAGGGAAGTTTGAGGAAAGTTAATGAGAAAGAGGGATAAGAAATAACTTCTTATTTCTCCTAAATGAGTAGAACAGGGTTAGAAAGACAATTTGTCATTCAAAAGTGAAAAATGTATATTGCCATTTTTAGGTTTTACATTACCAATAACTCATGGTCTTTGTCCTCTCTCTGTTTAAGACAATAATTGACTCTCTGACTTCTCTTAAAAATATCTTCCTCCCATCATGGACAGAATGAGTACGTTCTGTAATGCACACTAGTCATTTTTATTTTTGGACATGTCCTAAGGAGAAACACTTTTTCTTCCAACAGATCAGTGATAAATTAAATGTGAATGATACCCCAAGGGCAGAATTAACTATGTGTTACTTAGGGGTTATGCTGAGGGGTGGAAAATACATTTCCACGTAGAATTTATAATTTGAAAGTCTCTGATAATATGGATTATGTTTAATAATTACAGACATTTTTATAGCAAGGGACTTGTATGTTGGATGTTTTTCAACATGAACATGATTTTGAAACTTTTAAAATTTTATTATTCTCTTATAATAAGAGAATTAGTGTTTGGTTCTTTCAAAGTGATATCTTCCAGATGCTTGCCAGCAACACTGTTGGATAATTGCTCAAATTATAGCATTAAAATAAAGCTAAAAGAAAGAGACACGCTATTGTAATTCTGAAGCAAGCAAAATGAGTTATATTTTAATCAGCCATATCAAGATACCAGCACAAGTAATGTTAGTAATACTTGTTCACGTATTGGGATTGTGTTATGGGCTGTCCCTAGGTAGCTAATAATACGGGTTGAAAATGGAGCCCCAAAAGAGTTTTTGATGGATATTTTAGGAGGTAAGGAAATGGTATCTCACTGAGAACTGATAACTGTGTGAGTTGACAAGAGACAAGAAAAGTGGTCGTAAGTAGGATCCATATATTGGGTGTGCTTAAGGCTCTTAAAGCGTAGAGTAGAATTTTTCACCAGACACATATACCCACTGTGAAAGATGCTAGCACCATCATCCTCAGGGATGAGAAACGGAGTGCAGTGAAGGGAAAGAAGGGGGTAGGGGAGAGAGAGAGAATTAGAATGCCATATGCACAATATCTTCTAAAGGGCTCAGAATAAACGAAGAGTTTAAAAAGCGTCAAGTGGGAAATGTTGACTTACATGTGGTAGATCACAGATGCAACGAGCAAGTCATAAATCAGTGCTGTCAGGTAATCGATAGACAGAGCCCTCTCCTTGTATGGGCCCAAATGAAAGACAGGCACAAACAAAGGGTCTTGGTGTAGAGGAGGTGAATCTAAAGAGCCATTCTGAACCAGCCAAGGTGTGTGTGAATGGTGACGTCTTTGAGCAAGAGGACACCTGCCTTCCAGGGTCTTGATCACTTGGAGCAACAAGCTTTTGAGCTCAGGCCTGGATCTGAGGCCTGGAGCTGGGTTTCCTTGCTGTGTAGCTGTGGGCAAGCTATCTAACTTCTCTTTGCCTCCATCTTCTCATCTATAAAAATGGAAACATAAAGCCAGTTACTACTCAGGCTGTCATGGAGATTAAATGATTGCTACCTGGAAAGTAGGAGCAAAGTGTCTACATCTAATAAACCATACCAGATGGTAAGCATTAGAGGATTTACTCTTTCTTTATGATGATGTGCCATTATTTTCTCTGTTGGGCTGACTGGAAGATACTCATTTCATAATTTATACTAAAATTAAAATTATATAAAAATCCAGATAAAAGACATCCCCCACCTGAAGAAAACAACCCCCAAACAAAGGCTACTACTAATGGTTTTCTTAGGGTGATTATGATGATTTTTTTTTCTTTACTCTCTTTTCCAAATCATCAGCGATACAACTTTGTTTATTTTGAATGGAAAAAGAATATTAAAACCATCTTTTCTTTATAATTGACAAATCTGTGAGTAGGTACCTGGAGACTAACCATTTCTCTCGTTCTCAAAGTTAAGTCCCTTTAACTTAGGGAGAGTGATATTGGCAGACTGGGACAATTTGAGAAAGCTAATCAGAGCACGCTGTAAGCGTGAGTTCTGTAGCTTTTATTTAGCTTAACAATGTTATTTGTTCTCTTGTGATAAGAAGTCTTCGATTCTCTGATGAGTGTATTTAAGTGACAACTGAGATCTAGGCAGCAAATAAAATAGGCTGTCTCCTAAGGAGTGGGCTTTCTTCTAAACGAGGGGAACAGAGAGTGCAGCGGTTGAGGGGATAACAATAGGAAATGAATGATTTTTGAGTGCGTGGTGCTTCCCACTTTATCAGTAGCCATCAGCAGGGCAACCCGCTGAGGTCAAGGCGAGTCTTTTATGGAAGTTTTAAGGGGGTAGTTGATGAAGGAGAGGGAGACCGAGGACCCCTGTGGAGGAGACACAGGATGAGGCCGCAAGCTGAGGTTATCAGCCTGATATCTTTCACAGGCAGGGTTTTCTTTTAAGAAGTCAACCTCTCTGGGGGTTCCCACAATTGCCTTGAACTCATTCACATTTTTATAAAGAAACCCACCCCTGTGGCTTCCGCAGGGCTGCAATTGTAGTCAGTTGACACATGCATTCAGAGGCCCTTCTTCTCTCATCAGTGATCCCAACAATCTCCAATTAGGCATAACCTTTCTGGGCCCTAGATGGAAGCTTCACCTGGAGATCATTTTTAGGAGAATGAG